CGGTGTACTGCAGTTGTTGTCCCCCTCCCCCTCCCACCATCCAGGGGCGGAGTAACCCAGGGGGGGTACGTGAAATTTACACCCGTTGCGGTTTTGCATCCAGCCAATTTTAGACGCTCTTGTTCGTTGCTGGCAGCCAAGTTTATTATGAAATTAGAACGCATGGTCGGGATTGGCGAAACCGGTGGAGCAAAGGGAGCCATGGAGGGGGGTTTAAGGGGGCGCCGAAATGAGGGGGCCATAGCACACAAACAGGCGCTGCATTGCAGTCAAAAAACTGGCACATGACATATGAACTCAGGCTCGACATTGTTGCTGTTATGTTGTCGCTTTGTTGTTATAGTTATTAAATTATATACTCAGCCTATAACAAAATCAACAGCATTGCAAGACTTGGGAGTGGCAAATTGGGGGGAAGGGAAGGGGGGAAAGTGCAGAGGCGAAAATGTTTGGCGATTATTGCCAAGGGAGATGTACGTATACGTACATAAATCGGAAAATTTACGACAGACGAAGAGTTAGGGATTTAGTTATTTTGCGGATAAAAAAGCCAGACAATAAATAAATAAGAATAAATTAAATATGACTTAAAATTCTGGTGAAAATATTACGAGTATAAAGAAATAAAAATAAATAAAAACAAATTATAAAATTTATATTTTATTAATCAGAAATGGCTGCACCATTTTATACCTAATAGTTCCTCAAGAAAATATAAAGCTTACAGCATATTATTTAATACGATTTCCTGCAGCGATAAAAATTAATTGTATTGCAGGCAATAAACTACATTCCTTGAGGCAAATCAATCTAAAGCCTTTTAATTAATCTGTGCAAACATCGTTAGCATTTTCCAGTTAATTGTGCCGAACCGTGCTCAGAAATACATTTATGGCCTCAATAATTTGCACAATAGGAGGAGCGATTCGCACAGTGCGGGAACGAGGGCTATATAATTACAACTGGCAATTTAAATAGAATTTTTATTGTATTTAAAAGTGTGTCTGCCACCGATACTGGTTCGGACTACGATGATGATACCATTCTGATGCTATACTGCTGCTCTATTTTAGTCTGTTTATGCAATATGCAGTCGTGTACACACAGACTAGAACTATTTTTCCAGAATCCGGCGACAGTTTTGGAACTAAATCAGAATTTATGCTTTGTTTAAATGCTGTAAAAATGTCGCTGATTTCTATCGCATGACAATAATTATAACAACAACCGAGCTCAGTAATAATAACTGTCTATGCGAAACCCAGGCATTCATGGATATGGCTATATATATAAATGTACATATATATATAGAGAGCGAATGGCGGACTGAACGCGTATTTAAACCAATTTTATGGAGCATTTAATTGTTGCTGCTTATGAACTAACCCGAACAGCAAATAGCCGAAACCACAGCGATAGACGTACGGGCTTAACAACCTCAGCGCCGAGCAAATTAAAAGTGGTAACAAAAGGTTAACGTAAATTGTTAAAACTAAATTATACATATAAACAAAACATTTTTATGCGATTAAAATCGGAATTACACGCAACGTGCGTCAGCTTTTTAAAAGGGGGGTCAGGCGGAAAGGGGGCTTACGTGGGAGGGGGCAGACATGGTCTATGGTTCGGGCATGACGTTGGCCATGTCTGGTCGTCTTTCCATATATATGGAGGTAGGGAAATCTATACATATGTATGTATATATATACCCCTTTTTGTCTGCTTGACGGCGTACAACTGGAGTCTTCATCGCCGGAAAAGCTGCGCACGTGCTGGAAAAGTCTGCATTAAATGGAAAATTCTAAGACATGTGCACTAATGTAGACGCTGTTTTCTGATCTACCTGAACTACCAACCATAGCAGATATTTTAATATTTTCAATGAAATATAAAAGACAATACTTACCCTTACCCAAAGATAAGTTAAATTTAACTTTCTTGGACGGAATAATATAAAATTTAAATTATTGAGTTACTTATCTTTAGGCGACTCAATTTAAGCTTATCAATAGCTTGGAATTTGGTTTAATTTATACTCCATACCAATTCTTTATTAAAATAGCAGGGAAAACAGTTTTATTTATATTTATTTTTCTAGGTAGCCTTCGCGTAAACAGTTTTTTTCGCATTATAAATATGCAGAAGAAACGTAATTTATGGCCTCTTTTGAAAAAATATAAGTATTTTTATTTCACAAGCATATATCACTTAGCAGCGCTCTTCAACGGTATCTCATCAATACAAAAACTGAAATCCTTATCGAAAGGTGCCACCTGTATCTGCGACTACTTCCTCAACCAATTGGGGCTGATGTGTACTTATCATCTGGCGATTACCAGTTGAGTTCACAGTGCTTGACAGGCAGACGTGACAATTCATCCATTTTTGAGACCCATAAGTAGACATGACTGGACGAATCTTATCGCCGAAGCCCAAAAACCCATTGAGATTTCCCTAGCATTCCACGCTTGCCCCATAGAGCTCCAATTGCTGAGGGATCTCAGGTGATTTATATCAGCCTAAATATAAATCGTAGTTTAAATTAGCTAAAATTTAAATCGTGATTTGCTATTGCTCAATTGCTTTATAAGGAAAGTTATGGCTTATAATGGTGGTATACTAAAGAGCTAATGGGGATTTCTATTCCGATTAAAGGGGTACGGTTTCATTTTGTGATTGAAAATTAAAATCTAAGTAAATTGATTCCAACCAGTCCAAAAGTATTTTGTAACATGTGCGCATTTATCAAGGAAATCTGAACAATTTGATAATGAACCAAAAGTTGACACTCTTTAAAGGGAATTACCCCAATTTCGAACTGCGATTGACCAAACGCGTTCATTTAATCTGAGGATACAGATCCAGATGCAGTTCCAATACCATCTAATCGAAGATCTTTCGAAAGCGACGGCTTATTTTCCTATCCATGGTGTCCTTTGCACTATAGATTGTCTGCCAGATTGTTTGCGTTGTTCTGTCGGTGACACCAACACCAGAGTTTGTTGTTTGTTTTTCTTTTCTGTGTTTTTGGTGTTGTTTGGTGTTTTTTTTTTGGTTGTTCTGTGGTTCGTCGCTCGTGTTTGATGTTCGCACCGTTGGTTGATCTGATTTTGGTTACAGGTTTCTTATTTTGGCAGCCGCTCACTGTCTTTTGGGTCTTGGATTTCGGGTTGTATCTTTATCTCAAATTATGTATCTGTAACTATCAACAGCGCTATCTGTGGCCGCAGGTATTTACATACATAAACTGCTGCTTAGGTAGTCAGCCCAGGGGCTTTGACAAACGGTTTATTTCAGCCATAAGCTCGCCCAGATCTGGTTAGATTCGTATCGCGGCAATATGAACTTATGAAATGCCTCGCAAAGCGATCGGCAGAAAAAAATATATTCAAAAATATTCATGTGGAATTAAGTCGGCCTGGGAAACTTTCAAGTTAGCAGCTGTCTTTCCTTAACTCTTCTGTAGCCCCTCCCCACTCTTCCCTTAACCCCACGCGTTAGCATCCTTTTTGCCAGTTTACAGGTGCAGCTTCACTTAACCCTTTGACGCCAAAAAGTTTCTTTTTAATGCGAAAATCAATGCGGGGGAAGTGAACAGTAGTCCTTCCTTAGCCGAAACCTCTACTTTTCAAATAAAATGAATCTTATCAATGTTATCAGAATTAATATGGACTTGGAGTGATTGATTAATAAAATAAAATAATACAAATACAAAAAGATAGGAATCCATAGGCAAGCTTCCCTTTTTTTAAGCCGAATAAATATTTAATGCAATTGGCTTTTCTGAGACCAAAAAAATTATAAAAAATATCTGAACAAGAAGTTTAAAATCAACAAGTCATTTATCAATCTCAAAAATTTGTTTAGGCTTGCAAGTGTTTTATATTTATCTTAGTTTAATTGTATGCTTTATTTTGTTCTTAAAATTTACGCTTACAATTAAAAAATAATATAAGAACAAAGAAATCTTAGAAATAAAAGAATAGTTACTTAGGTATGTTGCAAAAAATTCGACGCTTAAAAGAATGAGTGATGTTATGGAAGTTGGACTGTGGCAAAAACTGGCTCACGTATCTGAGACTTCCTCCTTGTTGGCCAATGTGTGTGTGCGCTGTTTATGCGCAGCAGATGTACAATACTAACGCGACCCCAAAGGAGCCAACTTGCCGCGAAAATATATGAGCTCCATATTAATAATTTGCATCTAGATACGAACAAACTATCTTTCGCAGTTCGCATAGTTCGTACATACACTTCTCTTAATTTCCAGCTGCTAATTTATGCAAATTTGGCTCTAGTCCTACCGCCGTCCCGCTCGCACACGCACAAGGCGGGAAGCAGCAGGCATCGGGCATCAGGCGTATATAACTCAAAAATCGCCAGACAAATCTGCACACATGTTAAGGCCCATAAATAAAGCACATAATCGCAAACGGAACGATCGATGATTGTTGTCACTGCTTGACAGCGGGCGTGGGAAAGGGATGGGGATAGGATAGCATAGGATAGGATAGGACATCGGAGGGAGTGCGAGAGGGTGATGGAGAGGGGAGTGGACGGAGAGCGCAGCGAACAGACAAGCAAAACGCTGGATTGTCTGGCTATATGTGTGCGTCAAGTGCAGAGAGGCGTGCCGCTGAGAGATTATTGAACGATGCACTCGAGCGGAGCGAACAAACAAACAACAAGAATAGCGAGCGACGAGCAAATGCAACTGCAACAACAACCGGTTACCTGCACACACAAAAAAACACGCCCCTCTCGCTTGGCGAGCAAGAGTGACAGGCATATTGCTGGCACCCCAGAGATGCCGTATAGCCGCCTCCCTCTCTCCCGCAGCCAGCACTGCTTGACAGCGCGACCATCTTGTATGTGCCAGTACACTAGCGCACACACACACGTAGGCCGGGCCTCGTTCAAACGGGTTTTCTCGGCCTGTGCGCATGTAGTGGTAGTGCGAGAGCAAGCAGCGCCAGTCTTTCCTGTTTTGCGCTCGTGTTCGTTCAGTTCGAATTCAACTGTTGACGTGTTTGCAAGCGTGTTATCGGCGTGCGTCCGCTCGTTCCGTTCGTTCGTATTTTGCTATCGATTCTCGTCTCGCCGCGACAACAACAAAGAAAGCTCGAAAAACGCGTCGGCAAAAATATTCACAGAGAGCGATCAAAGTGTGAATCAAAACCAAAAATCAAAAAGCATTCAAGAAACCTAGTAAAAACAAGCAGTGTGACCAAAACAGTGTGCTAAAATGTAAGATCAAGATTTGTGTGATCAGAGATCATTGAAAAACAAATACGAAAAACCAAATCCAAAGTTTTTAACGCTAGCCCCCGCGTAAAATTCATTATCCTTATCGAGCGATCAGCCTTTGGAGCCCCGTTAAGAACCCAAAAACAAAAAAATAGCTGACACAAGCATTCGAAAAATCTGGCACTTGCGCTTATCAATTTATTGCTATCAACTAAAGCGCGCGGTAAAGAAAAACAAAAATACAAGAAGACATTTAATGAAAAGTGTCTGCTTCTCTTTTTTTTTACTATTTTTTCACTTCACTTATCGCTGCTTCTGCTGCCGATAGATAGATAAATTGATTGAGTTTTCGACTCAAAAGACCCTGGTTATTTGCTTTTCTTCCACCTTCGAGAGGTAACAAATTATGTTGCCTTATCGCCGTTCTTTTCGTAGCGCAATTGTCAATTGAACGATAGGCATCTGGCACCTTAAAGATACAGTCCACAAAAAAAAACTCGGGTCCAACTTCGGTTGTATTATTAATAATTTTTCGAAGCCAGAAGCAAACAAAGAAAGCAAATAGAAAAAAGAACTCCCGTTGATAATAATCGTTTCGAAAAGAAATCAACGAGTGCAATGCACACAGCTCGCTATACAAACATATCTGCTATCTATTGCTGATAAGCCCAAAATTCCCCACAAATTCGGCTACCTGTCTAAATCAATATAGGAGTGTTGTCTCTGCGATATGACTCTTGGGGTCTTCTGCAAGAAACCCCCGACAGATGCCAGTTAGCAATCGAAGCTCTTCGATAAACCTCTAAATCGCGTCTAATTGGGCCCACACAGAACACCTAGGAACACACCTGCCCTTCGGTTTTCAGGCGCCTGCCTTCAGACATCCCGCAGATACGGATACCGAAACGAAGTCCCCAGGATCTATTGTGTGTAAACATTGTGACAATGCAATTGTTAGAACAACATGTTTATTAGGTCCCCTGGGCGGGATCTTGGTCATCAATCAATCCGATCAATGCGAAAATACGCACCTCGATACCAGACTCCCATTTAGTTTTGGCATTTCCCACACTACGCAGCGTTGAATCCAAAAGTCCAATCGTAAATCAACTCGTGGTTATCCTGTATAACTGTACCGCAGCCATAAAGCCATAAAAACAATTGAACAAAAAATGTAAAGCTCGCGATAAGGGAGAGTGAGTGATAACGCCGGCTACCGTTAAAATCTTATCAACAGCAGACACCACCCAACTTCTAAAGTTGCTAAAGTTGTTCAAAATTTCTTGATTTCCACAGCGCGAGAGAGAGAGTGTGTGTTTTGTATGAAAAATGCGTAACAATTAACGTAGCGGAGAGCAACAGAAACCCGGAGAAAAGAGAAAGCCCCACTGAGAATAGAGGGATATAGGATATATAGAACCGCCCGATTCCTGCCCCCCGGTAGAACAGAAAAGCATTCAAAATTATACTCGAAATGGATATGACCTCAACAGCGGAGGCTGCCGCTCGCAGCTGGTACGATAGTCCGCGCTTAGGCGGCGGCTCGTCGGGCGGCGGAAACGGGGGCGGGGTCTCGCCCCAGACGAACGGCCTTGGCAGCGCCGGGAGCAGCCTGGCCCACAGCCACCACAGCCTCTCCAGCGGCGCCAGCTCGGCGGGCAGCAGCGTGGGCGTGGGAGCGGCCCTCGGCGGCGGCGGCGGATCCGGACTGGACACCAGCGACATGAGCGCCTTCTACGCGCTGGAGAGCAACGGACACCACCGGCGCTACTATCCCAGCTACCATCAGCACAGTAAGTGTGGTCAAAAAATGCACCTAAACTATAGAAAATCCTTATGGTATCCTAACAGTTCAGTTGAAATTTCAATAGCGGAAGATATAACATTAAAAAACCTTGTTTGGAGAAAATCAACTGTAGAGAACACTGATAATCTCCAATTTAATATTAAACCATTTATAATTTATAAATAACTATCTGGTATTTAGTTTCCATTTCGAACTATTTTAAATGCTTTTTAACTATCTAAGCATCAGCAAAAGCCATTTGTGTAAACTTAACTGGTAAAAAAAGTAACATATTTAATGATATACCAACTGAACTGTAAAGGGATCAATGGAAATTTCCCAAATAAATAAAATAAATAAACGCAGAACAATATTTGGGGAAAGTGCCATAGACCTTAACCACCATTTCGATTTATGCTTTATTTAAGTAATTTCTCCCATTTTTTTTGTTTTCGGTTACCCCTTGGACATTTGTTCTAATGTCATTTCTAATGCGTTTTTAATGAATGTATTTTGGCGGGGGTTGCCTTCGCCTGATAGTTGCCGCTCTGGTTGGTTATTTTTTTACGGAATTCGTGGATGTGGCCACCCACCGCCCACAAATCGATTGCTTCGCGCCTTTTTTGTGTTGCTGAGTAAGCGTTTCCTGTTGGCCGCCATCGAAATCAGGGGAATGGGTCGATAGAAATCGCCGTTGTCCTGCAGCTCGATGGTATCCCTGGAACCTAAAATTAGGGTACCAGATAAGGACTGAAACAATGGGATGGAGGCGTAAAACAAGGGAACAAGGCAATTTATTTTTTCAATAGAAAAATGCAATCGATTAAACAGGCATTAAAAGTATTAAAATACTTTTGGAAAAGAAGTAAAGCAATTTAAGGCTTAAAACTAATTTTTCAACTAACTTTTCTGTTTTTTGCCTTCAAAAAGCTCATCAAAATACTACGAAACCTTCTTGATTTTGTATACCCCTTACTCTTTATAACTCTATTATGGCAGCTGAGAATATCAACTCAAATGTTGTGTATTATTTTATGGCCACCAGTTCACATTTCTCCTAATTGTCTAAAATTTGTTCCTAGGCCAGAAAGAAAATGATCTATGCTCATTAGGGCGGTGGGCCCACAAAAAGAGAAGAAAAACACCAAGAAGACGACATTATTATTTTTCTTTTTTTTACGTTTGCAAAAGTACCAGTTTTCAGGTGTGTATTTCTGTGTGTGTGAGGTTCACACGCCTCCAAAAAAATTTCCAGTTCCGCTAAGTTAATTTTCAATTTGAGCCACCGTTGGCTCTGCTTTCTGTTTTCAGTATTCAGTTTTCAGTTTTCCGTTTTCTGGGCTGCGACGACTGTGACTCTGCTGTCAGTTTTGACAGTTGATGCCCCAAACCATTTTCACTTGGCACTTAGCCTGGCCCAAGCCCATTGTTGTTGTTGCTGCCGCTTTTGGGCTTTGGTTTTTTACATTTCTTTCGGTTTTATTTCGGTTTTATTGCGGTTTGCATTTTGACAGTTCCACGTAAACGCAGCGAACACCCAAACGTGACATGCATCAATGCGGCGTGGTCGCTGAATTTATTTCCTGCTCTTGGAGTGTGCAAAATTTTAATTTAAAATCCGAGTGCTCGGTAGTAGTGGCTGGTTGCCCCTGGAATGCCAGCTAAGTGAGGCTGTGCAACTGCACAAAGTGATCAATCAGGTCCGGAGGAGAAGGATCCATCCAAACCATCCGATCCGTTTGCATTTATGTTTAATTCATGTTATTCATATGCCGACTTTATTGATGCTTGATTTGATCCATCCAGCGCGATCCCCCAGTTGCCGCTGTAATTCATTCATGCACTCGGGATTCTGGGGATAGGACTGCGGATTGGGGATTCAAATCGTTTGACAGACAGTTTGTCTGGGGAGTGGAGTGGCATTCGCATCCATAACGAGCGGCGGGCACCTGTGGCGAGCGTTGATTTTAAAATTCATTAGTCTGCATATGTCACATCTCAGGGGCGGCTTAAATCGCGGAAGGGGGATCCAAAAAGCCCCCTCTTGTCAGTCGGCCAATTTAGTTGTCAATTATGAGGGGCCGACTTTACTGGCTGTCATTAGTGGCAAATTAAGCAACTAGGGCGGGATCAGTTTATATTTTTTGGCTTAGACGCAGACGGCCAATGCAGTTTTAATGGCCAAAACAACACACACACGATCACACACACTCAAATTCTCGAGAGTTAACATGCTCGAGAGTCGGAAATTTTTATGATAGCCCAGGCCATAAAAACCAACGACAACAAATGTGAAATTTAAATTTCAAAAGCAAACATGCCGAAAATTTTGGCAATAACTTTTGTCTGCCCCGTGACTCTCGAGTGTGTGTGTGTTTGTATATGTTTATCTGGGCTTTTGTTTTATTTTTCTACATTTTTTCATCTTGACTCGCTTTTTTTCACAAACATTTTCGATGAAAAATATACACACACAAACTGTTGTTTTGGTTGCCTTTTTTTTGTTTTGGTATTTCACTATTTGTCTTAGCCATGATTATAATACACTTGGGACAAAAGGTATTTGGGTGATGGAAATAAAGAAGGAATTTGGTAAATAATTTAAAACCGTAAATATTATATAATGTGAGAGGCCATTTAGATAATCAGCATTTAATTATCATTTAAACGCCATTCGGGAAATAAATTGTTTTGGCTACAATATTAGCGAAATAAAATTAATTCAAAATATATTCAAAATACAACTTCAATTTTGTTATTTGAGTAAATACTTAGAAATTAGAGTATCTAAAGTTCGTTACGTAATTTAAAGTTTTGTCTCTTGATTCCGACGGCTCTTAAAGCTCGGGCATAAAATTTATTTTTAATTACCCCAGCCGAGCGTTTGAATATTTTCGCCTGCGATTCGAACTGACCGAATATATAGCCATTGCACTCGCACCAGGCGCGAGAGAGAGAGGGCCATAGATGCCCCGATAGAGATAGCGATATCTGCGGTCCAAGTTTTTGACAATATTTGTGTGTGTCGTGCATTTTCATTTGTTGTTGGCAACTTTTTTGGCTTATCGGCCAGGCAAAATCGGGCAAATGAAAAGTTTTTGCTGGCCGCCCGTTTGTGCGGCTTCTGTTCATAATTTTTGGCTGTGGCTTTGGCTTTGGCCCGAAGAGAAGTGAAGAGAATTTCCCACAGCCACTTAACGCAAATGTCACGCACAGTGGGCTGCCGTTACAAAGGATATCAAATGCGATGCGGGCCCATTGAGTTCGTGTCCGTCCTTTGTTCCCTTTGCAGCAGTGCAGCTCAGCTGAAAGGCTGAAAAGCTGAAAAACTCAACTCGAAACTAGCCTTGCTACCAGGTGTTGCACTTGAAGCGCTGTCCACTCATAAATTTTCATGTGGCCAGGCCCGAAAGCGCAGAAACAGAGTTTTCCAAGAAATGGCTAAGGCTGAGGCTTTGGCTTTTGGTGGGGCTGGGCCGTAATAGTTGTTGTAATTTACCGACTGCAACCACGAGGCTTATAGGCTATATGGCGAATAAAGCGTATAGCGTATAGCGTGCCTGGCCAGAATCTCGGCGGCAAATCTTAATCCCGGTGCGCAGGTTTTCAGCGAATTGTGTGCGAGTGGATGGCCTATAAAAGTGAGTTATGGTATTGCAATTGAACAGCTGGGCCACCGCTGCGTATGATTGATGTGCACTTTTTGGGTGGCTTTTTTGCCTTTCAGCCCTTCCTTGCTCTCCTCTCTCTCTCTCTATTTAATTCGAATTGATTAAAGTGTCTTGCCAAATCATGCCACATTAATTATGACCCAAATTCCTGGAAGCATTCCTTTCTTTACCCAGTAAATCGTACATCGTACGATCCATTGAGCGGCGAAGTTGAATTGCTGTTTTGTGTTATATTGCTCGTTGCATTGACAGTGGCCGGTCATTCATTCCACCGCACATGTTGCTGCTGTGCCGGCGATGTTGCTGCTGCTGCTACTGCTGCTGGCGCGATGTTTTAATTAGTCGTGGCACAGCGAACTGTCTTTGCTTAATTAAATGACATAATTATAAGAATGTGCCGAGGGGGGAGGAGGAGGAAAGCAGAACCCAGCCTACGCCAAAATGCCACATGCAACACGTGATGTTGCTGTCGTTGACATTGCCTTGCGATGCTTCAATTAATTTGCACTCCAGCAACAGTTGTTGCTGTTGCTCTCGGCTGCTTTGCATGCCGCAGAGCCAAAGGTGCCGCCACATTGTCCATTGTCCGATGCAGCAGCAACAGCAACAGCAGCAGCAGCAGAAACATTCCCATTGGCAACACGTTTCGCATTCTAATTTGACGTTCGCCGGACTGCGGCTAGTTTGCCTAGTGTGAACAGCTGTCCTTCAATCACTATCAATGTCGCCTGATGTTGCTATGTTGCCGTTGCCGTTGCCGTTTCTTGGTTGCCGTGTTGCTGCTGCATCAATCTGGCCAAGATGGCGACTGCCAGTTTTGCTCCTTTAAAGCTCGCCGCCTGCTTCTGGCGAACTGGGCCGGAAGTCTTTGCTGCCGAGAATCCAGGGCCTGTCATTTGTCAGCCGCGATTTCCAGGAACGCGACATGTCTATATATACATATATATAGAGGGGAGTACGAATATGGTTATGTATGCCTTGTGATGTGGCATCATCAATAAGACGGCTACCGGGCCTCGTTATTAATTTGTTAAATCAAAAAACAGCTCCACGGCGATTTATATCGGAAGGCGAGACAAAAGCTTACGCACGGCAGCAACATGTTGCTGTTGCTGCTGTTGTTGTGATTTGTCTAACACAGCGAGCGGTCAGTTGGCCATACAAAGAGCCCCGGCCAGCAGCAGCATTCATTAATTTTGAAGGAGCAGCAGCAGCAACAGGAGTCGCAGATGCAACAGCGGCATGAGCAGCATCAGCAGCAACAGCAACATGTTGCCGGTTCGGTGCAGGCTTTTCGAGCTCCCTCGGCACGATTTGTGAATGCAATTACAATATT